AATCTGTAAATTCCTTCTATAGAGCTGAAAAAACCTTAAAAAAATCTAATAATCTCTCTTTTGTTTTTTAAGTCGTTTGCCGCTCAAGCTGTTTCCATAACACATACTGTAACTTTATATTCATTTGCTCTGCTGACCGCCCCCCCCCCCTCCCCCAATCGACATGACAGATTTACGGCCCTGACTAAAGAGTAAATAAACAAAAATTTTAACTCATTGGTTTGATTTTGTTTCTAAATACAGGATCTTATATGTTGATAATGTGATCGTTCTGGATGTCATCTAACAGGTGTTTTTCCAAGAACATTAACATGGACTCCAGGTTGGGCTGCGAAAAATTACTACGTAATCTGTTCTCTATATATTTGAGGTGGAAAAGCTTCTATCACACTCAACTTGTGACAATTAATTTCCTAATCCTCCTTAAAACCACAATGATTTTCAGCAACCCAAAAATATCAAGCTGTCAATTTCTGACCCCAAAAAGAAAACATGGGGACCCCTGTTGAAATTTTATCGTGTAGCACCATACCCCTGTTGGGGGGGGGGATGCATTTGACTTATGATAGTATAGGCCTAATAAACTTACCATAACTAATATGAGTTTATTGAAAAGAGCAAGACCCTGCTGTTTTTGTGACGTTTGTGGCTTTGCTTGATAAAAAAAGCTTTGTATCGTAGCTAAATCCTTTTTTAAGTCGCGCAGCTTTTCCTCGCGAAATTTCTGTGCATCACCTTTGGTTGGAGTCTTCTTGCTCTTCCTTTGTTCTACGTATGTCCTCTTCATTGCTTCACATCACAGAGCAAATCGCTTAGTGTACTCCAATTTTTGGACTTTTAAATTTATTACATTTAGCAATAGCTTGTGCTTAGGCAAAAACATGACCAGCTTCAAGCAAAAGCTAAGTAAAAAGACATCAGGGCAGGTTAAAATCTTATGTATCGCATTGAAACAGGGGTGTTACAGTAAAATATGTCGCCAAACAGGAAATACCGTCAAGAGAAAATAGAACAAGATGTCAATAACATGTTTCCTGAAGAAGTGTGTTTGGGCTGCGGTGACAATAATGAATTCATAAGTTTGATGGTTTTGGAGTACTCGCGTGTATAAATCCCTGTCTCTGAAAATCTCTGAAAATTTAAGGCAAACAGATCAACGCATGGGTATAGTTTTTTGCCTCGCATTCACTTTTTAAGATAATTTATTCTCTTGCACTTTTATCAGCCGGCCCTTAAACCGACCGGCCCTTCGGGCGATCGCCCGAATAGCCCGACCAGCCAGTCCGCCCCTGCTGCTGACACTGTTGGACATAGCGGAAGGGCCATCAAAAACTCTTTATTTTGTGGCCAGCATTTTTTGAAAGATATGGTCACATCGTTCAGGGCCCACGCCACGAATTTCAAGCTGGAGGGGCCAAGTTCTATAAGTCGAACTTGAATTTAGAACCTCTTTGGAAATATTTTTGCTTACCAAAAAGTGAGGGGGCTGGCCCCGCCGGCCTCCGTATGGTGGCGTGGGCCCTGTCTTTGCAAGTCTATCCAGCGAGGCCTTTAAAGGAAAGATCAAAGGACTTTTCAAGAATTTAAACCCCTTCAAATTCTTGACCTTTGTATCTTTGAGTCAGTGAAATTCGTTGATCCGGTGTACTGGGATGACGAGAAAGATTACAGCGTTTGAGATTTAACTCTGTTCATAATATCTTTCAAGGCAATACTGGAAACAGCAGAATATGCTTCCAGTTAAAGTTTAAGATAAAAAGTTTTCACTGCATGAAGATCATTCGAGACGTTTGTAATGGCTTCTTAATGTGGAAGCAATGTCTGATATCTGTGACCCAAAAAAATCTGAAATCAAACACCAAGAATTCCCTCATCTTATCCTTATACTTTTTACTCTATTTGGAAGCACAACTTCTTCTTTCCAATGTTCATTCAAAGACCTACCATGCAATCACTTTTTCAATTGTTGTCATCCTCTACATCTTTAGTCAGATTCTTTTTGAGTAAGCTATCACCACGAAACATATCTCGCACCTTCAAATAACACGTTAAAGAAAAACAATGGGTTTAGTCGTGATCCCTGGTGGAGCCCACCTCGTATTTCAAAAGGATCCGAAGTCGAACTTTGACTTCTAAGGAGCTGTCTAGTTTCCATACTGCTCGACCTGACGCCGTAATTAGTTTACCCTAAATCTAACCCTAAACCTAACCCTAAACCTAACCCTAACCCTAAACCTAACCCTAACCCTAACCCTTTACTTGAAATAATTATTCATTCTAATTTATAACTATTAAGCATGCTTATTTATGACTATCAGGTCGAGAAGAATAGAAACTAGACAATTCCGACTTCTAACTTCCATATGTATTTCTCTACCCATGGTTTAGGTAGTAACTCCTAAATGTAACTAAGCAAGACTGAAAGTGAAAGATAACATAAAATTGAATTTGAAAACAAGTGAGAGCTTTTGTAACAAACGAAGCCAATTTCGATTACACTATTACTCAAAAGAATTAGCCAAAATATAGATTATGTTTATTTTGTTTGGCTGGCCAAATTTGGCCGTCAAACTTGAAGAATTGTGCCGCCAATCACTCCAAGCATCTGGCAACCCAGATTAGAGATTAAAACTTTATCGATATCGTACTTTAAGGTATAGGCCATGTGAAGATTAAAACTTTATCGATATCGTACTTTAAGGTATAGGCCATGTGAAGATTAGAACTTTATCGATATCGTACTTTAGGTATAGGCCATGTGAAGATTAAAACTTTATCGATATCGTACTTTAAGGTATAGGCCATGTGAAGATTAGAACTTTATCGATATCGTACTTTAGGTATAGGCCATGTGAAGATTAAAACTTTATCGATATCGTACTTTAAGGTATAGGCCATGTGAAGATTAGAACTTTATCGATATCGTACTTTAGGTATAGGCCATGTGAAGATTAAAACTTTATCGATATCGTACTTTAAGGTATAGGCCATGTGAAGATTAGAACTTTATCGATATCGTACTTTAGGTATAGGCCATGTGAAGATTAAAACTTTATCGATATCGTACTTTAAAGAGTAAGCCACCAGTTCTTCGTTTGTTAAAAACTTTTTAATAACAAAGTGCACGTGAGTGAAACTTCTAAGCTCCAATCTTTATTAAAAAGCAAGCCAAAAAAAGTATTCAAGAAGGAAGTTGCAAATTTACAATGAAAGTTCTGGAAATTAAATTGGCATGGAAAAGAGTCAATCTCGGCAGACTTGATGTTTTCGATCTGACGCGTACGTGTGCCTCCTTGCACTTGATCTGCGAGGAAAAGCACCAAGTTCGCATACATTGACGATTTAATAACGGTATCCCATGGAAACGGTTGTAAGTGCTAAGGGGGTAGCATCGTACTTTCTGTCATTCGTAGTTCTGCGATAAAGTAAAAACTAAATAAATGGCCAACTTCTTATTGTGGACACCTTGAATGGTTCCTATAGAGCATCTCTTGACAAAGGACATTTTCTTAGTGTGAACACTACCCCCGTCATTTTGCATTGATATCAGTAATAAAAGTTAGATAATGTGGCTGATATAAAATTTTCCGGATGTTACCAGGTAAACCTTAGTCGCATCCCAGTTTTGATTCAGTTTCTGTTTTGTACTGTAGCAATACATGGCATAGCGCAAATTACAAACATGAGAAAAATCAGCCGAGTGAGACGATCTGGAATTATCGATCGTATTTTGCAGATTTTCCTGACACTGACTGTTGTAACAACAGCAATCGTGAATCTGGTATATTTCTCAAACATGAAAAAGGTTGACTCAAAGCAAGGCACTGTGATCTCAGATGAACTAATTCGCGTCCAAGATTCAGGCCATGAGAAGATCGACTTTGACACCCAAGTGAAAATATCAGAGGCTGATGTTTTAGATACAAGCCTTGATGTCAAAAAGAGGGTGCTGCTAACTGCCCAGTCAGGCAAGCAACATGCCTTCATTTCAATTGATGATGCAGTTGTTTATGAGAAAAAAGAGGGCAACAGAGGAATGCATATAATTGTACTTAGCCAGCATACGGGGAGTGTTATGGCATCTCGTGTTTTTGACACTTATCTTGCATCATACGACAAAGAGATCAGCGAGTTTCTCTCATTTGTTTCTCAAGGCAGAGTGATTGTCTTCCTGACGTTGGATGAAGCAAGTTTTTCCTTGAAGCAGCATGCAAGAGAGGTCATTGCTAGTTATGGTAGTAAACATATAAAGAAAATTTATATCAGGGATGCTTGGGTTTTCATCACAGTAAAAGGGGATAAGCCACTGACAGAAAAATTTAGCTTGACAACAAAAAGGGGCGGTGTAATTAGCGACGTTTGGCCTCCTCCAGCCACTGCTCATGTTTATTTGCAATTGGTTCCAAAAGAGAATGAATGTAATTTTGGATTTGGAGAAGAAGCTGAAAGAAGAAGAAATTTTTGTAGCAGCCATGATGCTTACGGCAAGATCTGTAATTGTTCTCACCCAGAGCCAATTTATTTCAGTCCCAAGCCTCTTAAAGGTAGCAACATTACAGATATACCAATAGTAATTATGGCTGCGGAGAGGCCGTTCTATCTGCATCGCATGTTAGATGTTTTCTTGAGGGTGCCAGGGGTAAATCATGCGATGATTACTGTTTATATTGACTGCGAGCAGTGCGAAGAACCTGAGGCCCTTTGTAAACTCTACAATCTCAAGTTTGTTAGGCATAACACCAACTGTGGCAGAGTCTGTCGGATTAGCAACCATTACAGAAAAACGATCAAAGAAACCTTTGATATGCATCCGGGTGCAAAGGCCATGATTATTCTTGAAGAAGACCTTGATGTTTCAAACGATTTAATGGACTATTTTAGTCAGACATACCCCCTTTTGATATCAGATCCAAGTTTGTTTTGTGTTTCTGCTTGGAATGATCAAGGGTATTCACACGTGGTACAAGACCCAGCGCAGCTTTACAGAATAAATGGTATGCCTGGCCTTGGTTGGTGAGTGGTATGCATAAATATTCTTTTTTATTTAGATGATGACGAAGATGGCAAGTCTTTTTTTCAAAACTCCTTACTAAGCTTGCTAGGAAGAAGTAAGGAAGTTTTTGCGACTCGCAGAAGTTGTGTTAATCGAATGGGCAGTCATGTGTTAATCGAAAAAGTATTCCCTATATCTCCTACCGACAGCAAAGTTTTTGTTTTTCGTTATTTAATATTTGTTCCAGGTTACTAAACAAAAACCATTAGCAAATAAGGGTAGGATGGCCCTCATAATGTTCTACCATTGTCAATCATAAGACTGAAGGTGGTGTTCTCTCATCATTTGAACCATTTAGTTTTGGGCTGTCGGTGCGCCAATCGCAAAGACGGCCATTAATAAAACCCCAACCGTTTTTGATGGGGTTGAGAAGAAGAAGCAATGGCCTTCTTCCGCCGACTAGCAGCACCTTGTTCATGCAAAAAGTCGCAAGCCATACGGCCATTAACTAATGCACGAAAATAAGTAGAAAGTCAACATGCATGTAAATAAAAACCCCTGAAAATTTCTAGACAAGGGTTGGGTGGGCAGGGTCGCAAAGGAAAAACCTTTCCTCTCCAAAGTCCA